TTAATCCAGTTCTCCTTTTCTCTCTTTTCCTGTTACTGCTACCAAAACCAATAAAATACGTCAGGAGCACAGGCTGCTCTTATAGGTGCATTAAAACCTTGCCATGGCGCAGTGGTGACTCACCTGTTTGACCTTTTGTTAAAAAGCTGAAGTGGTTGTTAGACGAGTCCCAGCTGATAATGAAATGAACAGGGAAACAGAGTGATGACAGCTTGGGTTAACCTTTGCACCGCTCTGACACCTAAAATAACATTCAGCCCACTGCACTCAATGTAAAGTCAACTTACACCGTCAAACTTTTCAGGAGCTGTTGGAGAAACATCAGGCATTTTGAGCTTTTGGAAAAGTTTCATTAAAATAAAATAGGGAATGTTACATTTTCAACACTATGGGAGTGCGCAGTCTTTCAGCTGCTGTTAAAATATGTACATTTTGAAATCTTAAAAGGATGGAGTTATTTGGTTGAGATCGAAGTCCATTATCCTTTCTGTTACAGCAGGTACTCAGTCAGGTTGTCTGTGGTCAGCTGTCACGTTGTGGATACTTTAAAAAAAACCTCTGCATTTATAAAATTATATGAAAGCTTTTAGTACCAAGAAAACATTTTTCTTTACCAATACTTAGAAGAACTTTAAAAGATGTCAGCAGTAGTTGGCAGTGCTTTGTTCACACTTGTTTGCTGTAAAAATACCCTGCATTCTGATTGATCTTATAGCAAAAAATCTTTTCATTTTAGATTATGAAGTGCCACTTCAGCTAATTCCATTCTTAACGAATCCCAGTGGTCCGAAGACTTTATAAAAACCTGCCTTTGATAAAGTTCCTTTGTACTAAGGATAAAAAATCTTGCTGATTTGGAACTACACATCTATATTTCTACTTTCCTCATGAGCAAATATGTACCATTATTAATCACATCCTTTCCAGTTGACTTTGTTTCATGACACCTCACCCCCCTCCCCCCCCGCTCCCCCTCCTGTTTTTCCTCTGCTGTCATTTGAGCTGGTAGTCCGCTGCTGTGACGCAGACGCAGCGTCACTTCTTCCTACGTGGAAATGTCATCTTAATCAGATGTCCTGACTCGCAGGGAGAGCTGTGGCGTCATTGGATCCATGGATTCAAGTATTTTCGTCCATAAACATCAGCTCTCATGTTCACCTGCTGCTCCTCCCTGCATGTGCAGCACCCCCCACCTTTAATAGAATCTCTCTAAAACTCTTGAGGATCTTCAGTTCCTCTTTGTGTCACCACAACATTTACTGTAAATTATGCTCTGTGTCAAACTGTCAACTGTCTCAAACACTCCCTGGCAGAGATTTTGACTTTTTCTTCAGAAAGCTCTCCATATGAACGCTTTGTGCTTCACTCCTCATTAACCTCCCTACTCCCTTCACTATGTCACAGTTTGAAAATAATCACTTTTCTCATTTACACTTCTCCCTTAATGACATGAAGACCTGCATAGCAGCAATGTGCTTTAGCAAAGTTAATAAGCAGAGGTGAGAAACTGCACATCATCCTCTTATCTAACTTTTAAAAGGTGCACAGTAAAGTTTGCTTGTAAGACTGAACAAATGACTCTGCTAACAGTTACCTACAAGAGATCCAGGTGAAAAAGCAATGTGCTCATGATTTCCAATTATCACTTTGTTGCCTTAATGGTTTTGAGTAATGCCAGAATAGATCTCATGTAAAAGGGGTTACAGTTACATTTCAAAATAATCTAAAAAATAGACAATAAAAGCTCCTTTCTCTGTAATTTCTGGAGTATTTCTCAAGTGCTGCTTTTACTGAAGGACAGTGCTCATCTTCAGCAAGTCCTTTCATGTGCAGTAATTTCACCGGTGTGGCGGCTCGCACTTGCACATCGCGCTATTCCATCCGCTCTTAAAAGACTATTTAATTGGAATATATGTGTGTATATGTAGCCTATTATTTTTTTTCCCGAGAAACTTGCAGCAACTGAAACCGCACTCAACGTGTATTTTTAGCGAAAGCATTCCTGAAGATAAACATGAGGGCGGTTTTACATTGGAATTGTTTCTCAGACACCAGACCAGCTTGTTCGCTTCTGTGCGTCACGTTCGGTTTTTGTTGACTTGGTTTTATTTGAAATAATTTCCCCACACACGGTGCCTCTTAATTTCACATCGAAATAAGATCAAATGAGTGGCGCTTCGGACGGCTGCTGCTTTGGAGCTCAGTGTTTGCTGCGCTCATTTTCGTTCCCCTCGTTGTCGATGCTCCGTGGACCGTGAGCGGGGCTCCGCGTGGTGCCGCTCAGGTGAAGTTTCGGTGTGTACCATTAATAACACACGCACGTGCTGCATCACATTCCATCCGCCCCTGGAGCACGTGCCTTGTTCCAGAGCTCTTACATTTAGACCAAACTGAGTCCCCTGTATGTCAGCCTGTACCATCCTCTGCCGTCGGCCCACTGCTTACACTGGAACACCATATCTGACCCAAACTCTGGTCTGTGTGTGTAACCATCATGCTGTGCGGCGGGCTGAGGAGCAGACAGGTGACATTTGGACGGTCTGGTCGCCTGATAAAAGCTTCCTGGCCCAGTATTTATTTATTTATTTATTTTTTAGAATAATACCTCCCATCAACACCCTCGGCTTCTAATTGACGACCGTGTTTCTCTTTAGCTCGTGGTTAATTTAGGAATGACGCAGCTGAATTAGCAGACCGTATGCACGGCGTCTGTGCGCGCGCCGAAGCTGCTGCGCGCGAGCCCCGCCGTGCTGCAGAGAGCGAACCGGTGCGGGATAAACGGGCATGTTAACGGCCGGTGCGCTCACCAAAACGGCACTTTAAAGCAAATAGACAAGTGTGAATGCGCTCCGCTCGTTCATTTCATGCGATATTTCAGCGCCGATTTGCACTCATTGCCTTATAAGGACAGACAGTCGTGCCTGTCTGCAATAGGCCGAGCGCTGCAGCCTGCGGGAACCCTGCACTTTAACCCTCTCACTGCTGAATTTTATTTGGTCCAACCGAATGAAACAATGCAACGACGGCTTCACGGCCAATTTAACGTTTTTATATAGGAAGCAATGCATCGAACATGTGTCAGTGCTGTAGATATACGTGTAATGAATAACAATTAACAGCTGGATATATGAGCCAGTGGCAGTTAACAGCTGGATGTGTGATCTGACCCTCTCTTTGTCCATCAACATTTTTTTAATCATCTTCACCTAAGCGCAACCGTGTGCGCTGCCGTTTGTCAGAGCAAACTGCAGGTGTGGTTTCCAGAGGTCCGTGTGCCCCTTCACTGTCGGGCCTAAACTGGTTCATACCGTGAGTCCTGTCTGCGCGCTCTCTGTGCCAAGCGATAACGGAACCGGCTGGTGCCTGTCCCTGTCGGGGCTCCGCAGTCAGAAATAACCCCGCTGGAGTTAAAGCCGGCGGGGTTAGAAGGATGCTGACCTACATCGGCTGCCACACAACCAGGGGCTATCTTTTAACACCGCGAAAATCCACCAGAAAATCCCCGCGACACGGAGCCATCTGAAGTGTCATCTCTTTGTGTGACCTTGACTCAGGGAGGATATGGAAATGTGTTCATTGTAATGCGCATAACAGCGGCCGGGCTCTGACCGCAATTTGAACACAGGCAATGATTCATGGCGCATTATCATCCGAGAGAGGCGGCTCTGTCGGATGGGAGTTTGTTTTCTATTGCACCAGGATTGCCCGTAATAGACGAGGCCTTGTTACGGTGGCGGTGATAAATCAATACTGAACAGGCTCTGGCCTCGACTCTGGTTGGGCCTGTCGTGAGTTTTCAGGTGGAAGAATTAGTTTTATGATAATGGGTGTCTTACAATTACAAACAAACCCAGCTGCAGCGTGTGGCCCAGCTCACATCATACACGTTGGACAGCTCTGTTGGTGGTATGGGGCAGCACGGTCGCCCAAACGAACCCAGCGTGTTCATTTGTTGGGACTGAAAATACAAAGTGAAGCAAAAGGCCCCGGCAAGCTGCAGCATCAGAGCAGCACATCGAGGCCATCGCGGTTCGGAACGGAACGCTCTCTTCTTTCATAGCACCCTCTTGCAGTTAGATCTCGCTTCACATGCAGCGACACAGGAGGGAGACGTGTTGCGTTTAGTGTCTCATCTCAGCTCGTACTTTGGAGACCCGCAGCCAGGCATTCATTTGTCACCAATTTACTTGTATTTGGTTGGACGTTAGAAGGAATATTATATATGATTATTATATGTGTGCGGATCCCTGTGCCATGGACATATATGTACGTTTCCTTGACAACTAAACACAACAGCCACTGTCTTCACAAACCTTCTCAGCCTTTGAGATTAACTGGAGCAAAAAAACTTCACATTCTTAAATGGTACAACTCTGGACTCCCTGTATTAGAGGAAATATTGCCTGCAACAATGTGTTTTCTTGTGGTTTTGTGCTACAATAGCATAGCAAAGTGTGCAGACTGTGTTAATCAATGCTTTAATAAGTTATGCATACACACATTCTGACTAAAGGCTAATTAAAGGTGCTGTACGCAATACTTTTTTGTTAAAATAAATGTAAAATAGCTGTACATTCTGACAGCCATCGCTGATATAGACTCACTAACAGAGAGTCTCCCTCTCCCTCCTTTCTGCAGTTTACAGAGAATTCATGTTTCGGTATCCTGTTCTCTTACTTTATCCAATCAGCAGAGAGATAACAATAACCCATAATAATATAATTCACTCTTGTAGGCTACAACCAGTTGTTGCCATGGTTTCCTTACTCCTCACTACCTTTCCAGTTTTCATAGACAAATCTGACTTTTCCTTCATCATAATTATTTACAGCTTTGTTACGTATTGTTCATACGCAGTCGTGATTGCACTGTTTCCCGACCGCGCTTGAAAGCATCACGGGAATAACCCCGCCCCTATTACCTCCCCCTCGACTGACGTCACGCCAGCGGCTATTTGCATGAAGTGTTTTCTAGCTGCAGCTTCAACTCGCCTGCAGAACGGGTCTCTCCGAGGGGGGAAAGCGAGGGAAGAGACGCAGTCAAAATACGAGGAGGAGGAGGGGGGCTCTTGTGTTTCACATCAGAGGAGCAGCAGGAGGAGGAAAAAAAAAAACGTCCTGAAAGCGGAGGATAAGGTGTCGGATACCAAAAGCGGAGGGAAAAAACAGAAGAGCCGCTTCTCTCGTATCGGAAAATGGAGCTACCCGCCGCGGGAGAGCACGTCTTTGCGGTGGAGAGCATCGAGAAGAAGCGCAGCAGAAAGGTTGGTCACAAGAGCACTGAAGGGCATTTTTACACACATGCACATGGAGAGGAGCATCATTTCTCATTGGTTTTCCTCCACCTTCTCGCGGACTACATGTTTTGTTTTTCTCGTTAAATCATGTGTAAGATGACGGTGCAATGCAGAGTGCATTTGGCTGCGTAAAGTCGCTGATTATCCCGTTTCTGTCCATTCACAGGGGAGAGTCGAGTATCTGGTCAAGTGGCGAGGATGGTCTCCAAAGTAAGTGCTGCTTTAAATTACATCAGTAATACCCACATCGATAACGCAACATTCAAAACACAAGTCCGTGTTTGTGACTGTGTTCATCTGTGCGAGCGTGGGCGCGCAAATGGGCGGTTGCGCGTTCTTGCTTTGGGCGCTCGACGTGTTGGCCTCGATGATGGATGTGGTTTTACAATGTATGCAATCCCCAGTGTGCCAATTAGAGGAGGACATGTCTATAATTGAACCCTATGTTTAAGAAATGCCCATATATCTACAGTTGATTGGAGGCTGGGCCGTTGTATCCCACCCCCTTGCCTCCCCCCTGCAGCCGTGCGTAAAAGTTACTTGTGATTTATTACACGTGCATCCACAGGGAGTGCAAGTGTCTCAGCATGTTGTTTACACATGTACATGCCTACATATGTTAGCTATGGGAGGATTTATAAGTCAAAGACTGGGTCAGGGCCAGTCGAGGGTTGTTTTGGTGCAGGAATCTCCTTCCCTCAGCCAGTGCCTGTTAATGTCTGCCACTGTTTGACAGGACAGTGTGTCCTCACTGCTCACTGTCTCCTCTCTGAATAGATACAACACGTGGGAACCAGAGGAAAACATCCTGGACCCAAGACTGCTTGATGCTTTCCAAGATAGGTAAGTTTAGAGTTGGTTAAACCGGCTTCCTAAATGGTAAATAACAGGTTTATATTGATATTTTCACATATTTCCTGTTCACGTTGTGTAAAGTATCTGTTACTCATCTCCATGTCCAAAGTAGGAACTACTTGTGTAATATCATATTGTTAGGTGTAGGGTTAAACTCAGGTCAGAGGTACCAAAGGTTACTGCCTCGATTTTTTGTCATCTGACAGTTATTTGAGCTTCAGCATCGGGTTATGCTGAAGTGCTACCTGCTGTCCCACCACCCAGTCACCAGGTGCACCTGTGTCATCTTCCACGTGATAAATAAACCAGTTATTACTCAGTATGCAAAATGATACACTTACCAGCACAAACGTTTTGTTTGGCTGATTGCTAATTTGTTTTTAATTGTTTGTTTGTTTGTTGTTGTTTTGTTTTTTGTTTTTTAGATTTTACTCATGTGCACCATTATTTAAGTTGGTCCTAAATCTAAAGTTCAGACCCAAGCTCAGGTTTTCACATCACACTTGTGTGACCATCATTGTGGTGTCACAGAATCCTGCAAGTATGTCCACATCCTAAAATCAGATGTTCAATGAGCACAGAGAAACTTT